TTTATTTAGTTTTTAAACTAACTACAGTAATATTATTGACTAATATGAAAATGTTCATCTGATTTATGTGTAATGCAGTTTGTACAGTAATATTTTCTGTCTTTTAGTGGAGATATTATATGAGAGACTTGCTTTGTTTACTAAATAAAGTGAATCTAATTGAATTTGTATTGTAAACATTTAATAAAAGTTAAAATATACTTTTTATTTCATATATTAAGGTTTTAGTTATGATACTCCCAAAATAATATCACAGAAATCCGCAGATTTTTACCAAAATTCTCAGCAGAAAGAGCAAAAAAACTAGCTATTGATATTACCGGTTGTTATCTGGGAATAGCATAACTTGGAATGTCCTGACTGACCAATCAGAATCAAGTATTACAGACGTGTAATAAGATAAATTAACGCACTTTAGAAATTATTCTCTGTGATAGCTTTTGTACAAAATAAAGTCCTGACTGAAATTACCATGGTTACAAAACAGATGGGATAATATTTTATAATTATGATCTTTCAGTAATACATCCCTGATCCAAAAAATAAATTAATTATGACTTATTTTTGGAACAATAGGGCATGAATGAGTACCTGCAGTATATAAGCCAATGCAAGTCACGTCTGAAAACCATTGGTATAGCTCCATCATGTTTTGTTCACACTTCTTGCTTTGTGGTTTTTGCATTCTTGCAGTGATTTAACTTTAAGACCTCTCCGAGGAACTCTTGCAATGGTGTTAAATTTGCTTCATTTGTTTGCCTTACCTCAGATTTATGGAGGTCAAAGTTGTTAGCAGCGGTTTTGTAACCAACTTTCATCCACAAGAGCTTCAACCCCCAAAAGTCTGTTCATGGGAGATTTATAAATGCAAGTTGTAGAGAACAGGCACTCCTACGATCCCACAAACTCCCAACATGTCCCAAGTGGTTATACAGTTTCCCAACAAACACAGTAAGTGTTAAGTCCATACTATGTTCAATAAAGCAACATATTTTCTTTGGATGTAGATGCAGGTCAGCTTAAATTCCTGCTCATAAACACATTTCTCTCATTATCTCCTACCTTTGTGCTATGTGTCACGGTTGTTGCCACGCATTAACACACATAGTCAATGATGCATGGAGCTCGTCATGTAAGACAGATGATTCATGCTTATTTCTGCTGTATTTTGTCAACGCCTGGCTGGTTTAAATCCATTTTCCCTCAGAGCCTCGGATTAAATCTGAATACTTTCAGACTTGCAGAGCGTGAAGAGAATTAATGTCAGAGAGAATTGAAACATAAAACTAATCCTGACAGCTATAGACCCACGACACAATGGCGAATTCATTTTATCCCATACAAAAGCCCACTCGGAGCTGGAAAGATGCTTTCTTTCGCTGTCGGTTAGTCTGAGGACTTGGGGTTTTCTGTATTGCAGCAGTTGGAGCTTCATTCTTCTGTGAATAAAATCTTTAACACAACTTAAGCCAACATGAAATGGCATTTGCTGCCTTAAAGGAACACTAAACTTTTTTTTAATAGGCTCATTTTTGGCTCAACTCTCCTGAACAGCTGAGTTTTGACATTATTGAATCCATTCAACCAATTTCAGGGTCTGGCGGGGGCATATATATAAATATATATATATGTGTGTGTGTGTGTGTGTGTGTGTGTGTGTATATATGTATATATATATATATAAAATATATATTAGATTAAAAAAAAACTAATTAATCGCACCGTTTTAAAAAAATGTATCGTGATTAATCGCGATTAATCGCATTTAAAATACTGAAACTTGTAATTTTGCCTATTTAAATGTAAAATTAATGTAATCGCAAGAAAAAATATTTAAATTCAAAATATTATTGTTTAATAGAATTTTTGTTTAACTTATAAACACAGATTTCTTCATGTAAACAACATACCCACAATAAACCATCAAGATCCTGGCTTGACAGCCATATTTATTACAGAAATTAAAACACAGGCATGTTAATGACATTTAAATTTAAAAACAATCAATGCCAATAAAGAAAACATTGATTTCCATGTTGGATTCCAAGTGGACTGCAAAAAAATGCCAAAATACAGCTATTGCAGATATGGAAAATGAAAATTATAATAATAAACTATAGAATACAAACTGTTGCACTCATTGTAAAGTTTTATTGCTGTGAGTTGAGAACATTAATTATAGAGTAGAAACAATTTTGCTTAATCCTCCTTTACATTCATCCAGTTGCTAAGACTAGGAGTATCCCGCAAGTACACAGAGACTCCCAAATGCCCGCAAATGAATGATAATTTCTTGCAAATCGGTCGTTAAATACATTGCACACCCCCTCGCCCCTACTCAGATACGTCGCTCACTCCACCCTTGACACCCCTCAACGAGCCTGACACAGACACAGACAGACCAATGACTGTAAAAAATATGGACGACGCGACAGCCCTTTTTCCCATTGAACGCCTTGAGGGCAAAACGCCTGCTTGACGGGCACAAACTGTCGCAAAAGACTGCTGAAATTGGAGCCAGACATGCGCAGAAGGACTGTCTGATGGAGCCAGAGGAGGAGCCGCGAAAATGAGCAGAGTCGAGCTTCCAATCAAACGCTTTATGTAAAATCAACTACGCCCCCCGAACTTCTCAGCATGCGTTTGCTGTCATATCAACACAAATGGATGTAATAACGTTAACAAATATGAGGGTTTTATATATTCAATCGCGCCAGCTCCAGCCGCAACACATAACTTACTCACGGCGTCGCAGGCTCATTCCGGCTCGCATGCGGCAGCGCCTGCTCGCTCGGCCGCCGCATCTGGCTCGATTGACTCGGGCTGGAATTGGGTAGTGAGTCCAGGCATCCGGAGTAGGTACAGCAGAGGTAACATTAGTCAGTCTGAGCTCTAAGAGATAAGTCTCTGGCAGGCGAGAATCTAGCCGGAACTGTGTTTTGCTATCTGGGTGGCTAGGCGTGTATCAGCAAACTAATAAAGCCCGAAAAAAGCCCTGAACTTAGCGAATAAACAGTGTTCCACCAGGATCATGTATGTCAGAAACTATAGTTTACTGCTGAACTCATTTTGTCATGGTAAAATAACACAGAAATCGAATAATAACATTTCAGTCTACTTCAGTCTCCTGCCGAAGCTCAGACGCCGCGCTTTGAGAAACTGTCAATCACAGCTGTCAATCACGATGACACGCCCAGCATTAAATTACTGCTAAAAACAAACTGTTTACAAAAATGAAGATCTGCACCTATTTCAGCACAATAACCAGTGCCTTAATCGACCAGAACTATCTCTCGGGACATTTTATTGCAAGTGTAATATTTTTTTTTATTTGGGCTCAAGTCTCCTTCATTAACACGGAGGAGGCGGGCTTTATGACTTGTACTGCAGCCAGCCCCCAGGGGGCAATCTAACGGCCGAAACCTTCACTCAAACGTAGGCTTGCGGCACACTTGAGACAGACACACACAACGCGCTGCAGACGTTTTGGCCCCAACGGCCTTCCATACTGGAGCGACTCCTCTCAGATTCAACATGCATGATCACGTTCATCAAATTTGCTTAAACTGAGCTTTCTAAAGTATTACTGTATTTCACAAGGATTCTGACACAACAACGCGAAGCATACGCTTTCGTTGCGTTTAATGAGGAAACACGCTAAACTTGGAGGGCTCATGCTGAAAGGCAGAGTAATGCCCTGTCTTTGACAGCTCGCGATTTCACCAGACGTTTTGAGTACATTTACATAAGACACCAATACTCCGATTTTAATATGATTAAGATAATACTCTTATTAAAATTCTACCGTGTAGCCTTAAAAGGAACCTTACCTTAAAGGAACAACGAGTCACGAAATGCAGAGGATTTTCTTTCTGTTCGCCATGCGGTATCAACTTACAACAGAAGTCGAAAGTTAAAAATGAAACACCCGAAATTGCATGAAACTCTGGATAACCTGTGATGCGACTAATTGTTTTATACTGGAACTTGCCTTCAAAAAGTGCTTCCTTGGTCTTATCCACATTTATTGCATGTTGAACACACGTCCACCACAACAGGAAGTAAAAAAACCTGTATTTATGTATATATATATATATATTTATGTATAGAGATAAATTGTGGCTGGAAGGTTATCCACTGCGTAAAAACGTGCTGGATAAGTTGGCGGTTCATTCTGCTGTGGTGACCCCAGATTAATAAATGGACTAAGCCGAAAAAAAAATTAATGGATGAATAAACGCATCCCCCCCTTCCCCCCTCATCCTAAAGACAATGGATGAGTCCATTTCCGGTTGCTCTACAGCACTCCACAGCGAACTCGCCACTATTTAGCCAGACAGTAAATCAAAACCATGTTGTGAGGCGAGCCATCAGACTGATTGAAGCGTGCTTTGATAGGTTGCATGATATTTTTTGTGCCTCCAGAGGTGTCACAGGTGTGTGTAATTATATAATCAACCAATCAGCTGCCATCTCATCAAGTGGCAATCAACCAGTTAAATCAGCTGGGCGTCTTTATGAACAGATTGAGAAATGCTAATGCTGCAACAGGTGTCTAATGAGACGGAGATGCACACTCCAATATGGTATCCCACAAATTCAGTGCATGTTTCACTTTTATTTTCCCATTCAGAACCCACTTTTCAGAATGATGTTATGCAGATATTACATCCATCAAATGCAGAAATAAAACCTATTTTAATGCAAATATAATTGGCTCATTCATATATGTAAATGTTTTTTTTTTTTCTCATCACAAATTTTGATTTAAATGGTAAAATAGCACTATAATCTTCATGTGGTGTCTTAAATGTATAATTCTAAATAATTTTAAAGGCAATTTCTCTTATAGGCAATGAGATGCTCTTCATTTTTTATCAGCCTCATTAATGTGCAGGGAACATGACTCATTTATATCTCTGAGATTTTTAATTTTTATTTATTTTGTTGATGTAAAAACGCACTTTATTCATTATCTCTGTGTTTTTGTCTGGTTTTAGGGTCATCCTGCATCACTGAAAGTGCTGATCAAAGTAAACGGGGAGCAGCTTTTACTTGCTTTGTGGAAAAATGAGTAAGTCATTTATTTGTTATTTATTTAATGATTAAGTCTCTTTACTATATACTGTATATCATGGTTACACACGTGGAGACATAATATGGCAGAAGTTTTTTAGATGCCACAAACTATCTTGGCATTTATATGACCCCAGCATATATTATAAACAGTTCATTTAATGCAAAGTTGAGAGAATAGAAAAAATAAGAATTTCTATTGTATTACTATGGGATTTTATTTTTATTTTTTGCTGTTTGTTTATTAAGCATGGATGCATGTTTTTTTTATATTATACAATATAATAAGAGATATTATTGTTATTATTATTTCTACTAGAAATAAAATAATTATTGATAATTTTGCGGTAATAATATATATAATAATAATATAGTAATAATTTTTTCAACTAATAATTATATTTTAATTTAAATAATAATGATTATTTAAATCTAATGATGATAATAATAATAATAATAATAATAATAATAGTAATAATAATAATTATCATTATTATTTCTTCTAGAAATGTAATAATTATTATTAATTTTGCATTAATATTATTAATTATTTTAATTAATAATTATATTTTTATGATTATTTAATAAGTAAAGAATTAAAAATATTTCATTATTATTATTATTATTAATATTATTATTTAATAATAATAATGATGATGATGACGATGATTAATATTATTATTATTTCTACTAGAAATGTAATAATTTGTAATAATTTTGTATTATTAATATAAATTATTTAATCTAATATTTATATATTTTTTAAAGTAATAATGATTGTTTAGTATTTTTTATTAAATATAATAATAATAATAATAATAATAATAATAATAATAATTGTAATATAATAATAATAATAATAATAATAATAATAAATATTATTATTTAATATACTTTTTTAAACACCTTTCTATAGACTTTCCACTAGCACTCCCATATAGACAAAAAAAATCAAAATAAGACTTTTTTTATTTTACTGTCTGTTTTGTTAATTCAAATAATGGTAATTCATGGAATATTACCTTAGATTTGACTGCCAAAAGTGTCTAAAAGATGCATGTGTGTGTTCGCTGGGATACATTTATTTGAGAATTAATAAAACATGAGCAACGTTTTGCAATTCAAATAAGACACACTTTAATTTAACCTCTGTTTAACTGGCAAGGCACTGTGCAACATCTTCATTTTCCTTGTAAGAACCCATGTGTGGAGCTTTTTATGGTTGAAAGAAGTGAAAGAGCAGCGTGAAACGGTCAAACCGGTCAGCATAATGAAGCCAGCTCTGTTTTTCTGAATGCAAATGAAAATCGACTCTGACAGATTCATGCCGGAGGCGACAAATCACCACAACTGAGTCTAATTACTGAATCTGCTGCAAACGTGGACATCCGTGCTTTTCACTGGCCATGCAGAAAGCGAGACAGAGAGTGTGTTTTTGAAGAATAGTGACGTAAAGAAGGTCATCGGGTGAGCTTTGGTGTCTGAAAAGCTCACCTGTGACTTTATTCGGGTTGACATTGATGTTCACGGTGAGAGTGATTGAGAAGGTCTGTGCCGTCATGGATTGTGTGTGTCGATGTGAAACAGAGCATGAAGAAAAGAAGCAGGTCTGCAGTGTGTTTAAAGTTACAGGGGGTGAAATTATACTGTATAAGTGACCTTGAACTTATTGAGTTCATTCTTAGACTTCATTCATGGATGGATAGATGGTTACTGTAGATAGATACTATGGATGGATGGCTGGATGGATGGATGGATGGATAAATGGATGGGTATGTAGATAGATAGATGCTGTAGATAGATACTGTAGATGGATGGATGAAAAGATACTTCAAGATGGACAGATAGAAACTGTAGATGGATACATGGATAGATTGATTGATAGATGGATACTATGGATGGATGGATGGACAGAGAGCTAGAGAGATATATGGATGAATGGATAGATAGATAGATAGATAGATAGATAGATAGATGGATGGATGGATGGATGGATGGATGGATGGATGGATGGATGGATGGATGGATGGATGGATGGATGGATGGATAGATAGATAGATAGATAGATAATGTAGATGGATAGATAGATGGATGGATGGATTGAATGATAATGTAGACAATAGCTAGATGGATAGACACTCATGGATGGATAGATGGTTACTGTAGATAGATACTATGGATGGATGGCTGGATAGATGGATGGATAAATGGATGGGTACTGTAGATAGATAGATGCTGTAGATAGATACTGTAGATGGATGGATGAATAGATACTTCAAGATGGACAGATAGAAACTGTAGATGGATACATGGATAGATTGATTGATAGATGGATACTATGGATGGATGGATGGACAGAGAGCTAGAGAGATAGATGGATGGATGGATGGATGGATGGATGGATGGATAGATAATGTAGATGGATAGATGGATGGATGGATGGATGGATTGAATGATATTGTAGACAATAGCTAGATGGATAGACACTGTATATTAATGGATGGATTGATGATGGATGAATAATGTAGATAGATAGATAGATAGATAGATAGATAGATAGATAGATAGATAGATAGATAGATAGATAGATAGATAGATAGATAGATAGATAGATAGATAGATAGATAAAAAGATAATGTAGATGGATAGATAGATGGATGGATTGATGGACAACGTAGACAATAGCTAGATGGATAGACACTGTATATTAATGGATGGATAGATGGATGGATGAATAATGTAGATAGATAGATTGTTTGATGGATTGATGGATAATGTAGACAATGGATAGATGGATAGATACTGTATATGGATGGATAGATGGATGGATGGACAATGTAGATGGATAGATATATGGATAGATACTGTAGATTGATGGATGGATTGATAGATAGATAAATGGTTATTGTAGATGGATAGACAGACAGACAAACAGACAGGCAGACACTGTATTGATAGATGGTAGGATGGATAATTAGGTTGAGATATGGATAGATAGATGGATAAATAAATATGGTGATGGATGGATAGAAGGATAATGTAGATGGATGGATGGATAATGTAGGTATATAAATGGATGGATGGATAGATGGTGAGAGTGATTGAGAAGGTCTGTGCCGTCATGGATTGTGTGTGTCGATGTGAAACAGAGCATGAAGAAAAGAAGCAGGTCTGCAGTGTGTTTAAAGTTACAGGGGGTGAAATGATACTGTATAAGTGACCTTGAACTTATTGAGTTCATTCTTTAGATTTTCTTATAAAACTCATCAGACCAGGCAACATTTCTCCAATCTTCTATTGTCCAGTTTTGGTGAGCCTGTGTGAATTGTAGCCTCAGTTTCCTGTTCTTAGCTGACAGGAGTGGCACCCGGTGTGGTCTTCTGCTGCTGTAGCCCAACCGCCTCAAGGTTGGACGTGTTGTGTGTTCAGAGATGTTCTTCTGCAGACCTCAGTTGAGTGGTTATTTGAGTTACTGTTGCCTTTCTATGAGCTGGAACCAGTCTGGCCATTCTCCGCTGACATCAACAAGGCATTTGCGCCCACAGAACTGCCGCTCACTGGATATTTTCTCTTTTTCAGATTATTCTCTGTAAACCCTGAAAATCCGATTAGATCAGCAGTTTCTGAAACACTCAGACCAGCCGTTTGGCACCAACAACCATGCCATGTTTAAAGACACTTAAATCCCCTTTCTTCCCCATTCTGATGCTCGGTTTGAAGTACAGCAGATCGTCTTGACCATGTCTAAATGCCTTAATGCATTGAGTTTCTGCCATGTGATTGGCTGATTAGAAATTTGAGTTAACGAGCAGTTGGACAGGTGTACCTAATAAAGTGGCCGGTGGGTGTATATTATGTCAAATTCAACTTTTATTTTGGATGCAGTTAATCGCGATTATTCTTTGTCTGGCACTAACTTTTTTGTCATTTATGTTGGACAATCCAAAGTATCACATTAAAAAGGAAAGCTGTATGACACTTTGATTGTCTTGATGATTGGAAAGGCTCTTTCGTGTTATTTGCAGAAATGCAGAACAGTTATAAAACCCGTTTTTCCTTCATCTTCAGTGTTGCTGTGACCTTTGGCTGAGTTTGGAGGGTCAGGCGGTGTTGTGTGGAAATCTCAAAAGCTCCAGCATTTCTAATACTGTATAAGGAAAAGCGAAATCTCCTGCTGCAGTCATGCTGATGAATTCCAGTTGTTGTAACTGGATGAAGCAGAGCGGAGAAGAGAAAAAAGAAACATTCGTCAAATGAAATTATCAAAATCGAGAGCTCAGATTTGTTTTCCTGCTCTCTGATTTCAGCACATGAGGTTCAAAACATTGTAGGAGGCGGACAGCACATTATTTACAGGGTCAAGCTGGAGATC